TAAACTCAATTAAATTCTGAATAAAGAAGAACCCTCAGAATGGTATTCAAAATACACAATCCTACCAAAAATTCATCCCAATTCTGATTGAAAGAAAAATATTTACTGAATTTTTAACCAGAAAAACACTCAATGTATTCATTAACCATGCTCAAAACAAACAACAATACATAAAAGATTCTGCATAACCTTCTGAATTCTGATTGACAATAAATACTCCTATGAGTATATGTCAAGAAATCAGTATAAATACTGAAATACAAAACATCCCCATAAAAAATGTGGTTGAGATACGGTAACTGACTCTGTCTGTGAGGTAATGTCACCAAAGATACACACAGTGCTAAAGGTGCCAAAGTAAATTGGGAAACTATATGTTCTCCAAAGCAGGAGGGTTGCTTGGGACTTAAAAATCTAGTGTTATGGAACCAAGCTTGTCTATTAACATTCATCTGGATGCTGTTCACAAGGGCAGGATCTGTTGGGGTAGCCTGGACCCACGAATACTTGCTAAAGGGCAGAAGCTTTTGGACAGTTAATATACCAGCTAATGCATCCTGGGGGTGGAGAAAAATACCCAAATTAAGATGGGTAGCTAGAAAGCTTATTAAGCATGTCCCAGGTAATGGCGTGGATACCTATATTTGGCATGATAATTGGCACCCCTCTGGGCCATTACTAGATATTTATGGTGATTCTATTGTAAGAGATAAGGGAATACCCTTTCAAGCAAAGCTAGCATGTGTAATTAGTGGGGATTTTTTGGAGGTGGCTCCCTGCTAGGTCACCTCAGTTGGTACAAATTCAGATGCACTTATTTAGCATGTGGCCTAAGCAAAGTGAGAAAGATCAGGTATTATAGGTGCCATCTACATCTGGAAATTACAAAACTGGACAAACTTGGAACTGGCTGAGAAAGAAACAGGGCAGAAAAGCATGGCACAAGCTAGCGTGGTTTTATCAAGCTATCCACAAGCATTGCTTTATCAGTTGACTAGCCATTCTCAACAGGCTAACCATGAAAGCTAGGCAGAAGCAATGGACCCCTACAATTGCTGATGCTTGCATCCTATGCAAGTTCAGAGACAAATGATCACTTGTTTTTTTAAGTGTAGTTTCACCGGTAATATATGGCAGCATGCCAGCATCTTTATGCTATAACTGATATACCATCTACTGATTCTTGGCAAAGCATAATGCATTAGCGGGGTAAGAAGATTCGAAGGAAGTCTTTATATAACACCCTAATCAAGCTAACATGGAATGCCACTGTCTACCATGTGTGGATGAAGAGGAACAGAAGGGTTCACCAGCAGATTTCCAAATCATAGAGTGCAATTATTCATGATATCCAGTTTGATGTAAGGAACAAAATTTTGAGTTTTGTTCGGCCAAAATTCTCACTATTGCCAACGACTATTGCATGCAACTGGGGGCTTGAAGCAGTAGTGCAAGATTAATCTGAGCACACTGTTTACTAGGTGATTCTGTTTGGATATTTTTTATGGTAGCAGCATATTTGTTGCTTATATTGTACACAGTGAGTTTGGATAAATAAAATCCACATTTTATCTTTTAAAAAAGAGTGGTAAAAGAATTAGTTCTAGTCTCAAACTGTTTTCTAGTAAGGAATGCTATTCAAAACTAGTCCGCAAACACTAACGCCCACTTCAAATTTTGATGGAAAAAGCCGCCCCCTTTCCAATGTACTGGAAAAACCCACCAGGTACCCATTCAAGTTCTCAACAGATTCAAAAGAAAACCATCCCAAATTTCATCCTTCTAAACGCATTTCAAAGTTTCATGTAATGCCTTATAGTTGTGAAATGACTTAACAGCAGTCAGTGTGGCTAGTGGAATGGTGATGGTCGGGACTCGGGAGTCCTGAATTGGATAGAGAAAGCGTCCGGATGGCACTTGAACAGTGGCAACAGACAAGACATCCTCTCTTCTTCCTATATATTTATATTTTTTTGTGCTTGTTGCCAATGAGCTCTGTTCCTCTCTAACCCCACATCCGAAAAGATTTCTAGAAGCAGAAAAAAATGGTGCTGTGCTTCCATTTCACTTTTCTATGGCAGTTCAGGATTGAGAAATCTTGAGAAGCAGACGAAGAAATATGAGAAGAGGATTGTCATGTAACTGGCAAAGGATAGAGGGAAATGGAATGCCTGCGTGAGGACCATAGAAAACAACCCTCTCAGTTTCCCGTTATTTTCAATAAGCCATTTGTTAATATTTTGCTACGCCCTTCCTTCTCCCTTCATTTAAAATTTTTTTTTTATAAAATAAAAATATAGTAATCCAAAGAAAAGAAAAGCTAAGATATCGTTAA